CCTTATGTTTTCTGTCGAGGAAATTGTCACATTTATTGCCCATTAATAGGTACAACGTGCCCCCCAGTAGCACAGCGGTATGTCTGCGGACTTACAACGCTAGAATCCGGGTTTCGATACCCGTGGTGGGCAGAGCACAGATAGCCCATTGTGTAGCTTTGTGCTTAACTTAAAAAACAAGCAGGTACAATGCCTGACCCCTTTAACATTTTATTATTATTATTATTAATTTTATCTATTTTTATGTTATTATTATTATTATCATTTTCTCCATTCTTATGATCAACGACTCAAAACTGTTCGACTATATTCGTATCACGTACACTTTTTTGTTATATTGTTGTAGCTGTATTTCGTTTTCGGTTACTGTCATTTAAAAATCAGTTTGGTAACCTGTGACGTTCATCGACTCTTGATAAAGGCATAAGCCGAAACGTCGGGTACAAGCATGATTTGTTATGGTGTGTTATGAATTTCGCGCAAAGCTACACGAGGGCTATCTACGCTAACCGTCCCTAATTTAGCAGTGTAAGACTAGAAGGAAAACAGCTAGTCATCACCACCCACCACCAACTCTTGGGCTATTCTTTTACCAACGAATATTGGGATTGACCGTAACATTATAACGCCCCCACGGCTAAAAGGGCGAGCATGTTTGGTGTGCCGGGGATTCGAACCCACAGATTGCGAGTCGACCGCCCTAACCACTTGGTCATGCCGGGCCTGGGGTGCAAGTAATTAAACATTTTTCTGAAGTTGTTTGTCGTCTTCATTAAGTAATGGTTTCTATCCTTCATTCAGCACTGAAAATTTTAAAAAACAGTAATAACTTTAACTTTACTATTTTAACGCGCTCTTTAGAAAAACATTACATACGCTGATGAAAAATTAACTTTACACTCAATAACATATTCTATATTTGTAATTATAATGTACCAAAAAAATTTGGTTTATTTGTAGTTGAGCATAAAAAGATATAATGTGCTATCTGTGCTGTGCCCACCGTGGGTATCGAAACCCGATTTCTAGAGTTATAAGGCCGCAGATTTACTGCTGTGTCACCTGGGAGCGTACCCAAAAGCGTTAGGTTATACTTTCATTAAAATAAAATTGAACAGTTATTTTTTTTTCAAAGCTCCAAGTTACTCTTGTAATTCTCACATCGAAAAGAAAATATTCCTTTTTTTTTTTCAAATTTCAGCGTTAAGATTATATCGTTTCTTTTTTATTCTAACCGTCTTCCACGAAAACGTCGACAAAAAAAAACTAAAAATCATTGGACTGAAATCAAAATTCGAACACCACAGTTAGTTGCATTTAATTCAAGTGTATTGGGCTGTGAATTTAAGGTTTGCATCCCGTTACCGACAGAAACAAAATCGCACTTCGCACTTTTGGGTCGTGGGGTACGTTATATAAGAAAATGACGGTCCAATCCCACTGTTAGATTAAAATAGCTCACAAGTTGACGGTAAGTAGTGTTGAACTGCGTTTCCCTCAAGAATTGCGCAGGTAGCACTCAAATAACTTTGTGCGAAAATCAACAAACAGCAACCTAAGTGTATTTTCCTTCCAGATTCCGAGTTTTATATAAATGGCGTTGAAAACTCTGACTGAAATGCCTTGTTTAACAAATCTCACAGAAGAACTGGATGTCTTCGGCTCGACATTCATGTATAATTCATTAGATCTCGTGCAAACTATTTCGTGGAGCTAGAACTCTATGTTTACTAAGTAAATTCACCGAGATATTTTAATCCATATTCAAGAAGCTCTTGGTAATTTTAGATTTTTCCGCAGAACCGTTAACGCATTTTATTTTTGAAAGCTGCCGCTATTAAAAAATGTCTATTGAAAGAAAATAAAATAACATGCCTCAAAACGATTCTAAAAATGAAAATTTAACTAACTAAACGACTGTTTTCTCTGCTCAACAAACCTTAATTTTTCTCGAGTAACTGGAAAAAAAAACATAAACCAAGACGTTTCACTTCAGCGAAAGATGCTTGAAGAAATAATCTGGTTCTCTCGTTAAAAATGTGCTCTTTACTGTTTGTTTCTGAAAGTTCGAAAACATCTCATAATATGGCACGAAACCATTAAAATTTTAAGGCTGGTTCCCGGCTGTGTCAATGTTTCGATACAGTTATCTTAAATAAATGAATGGCCAGTCTTTAGGCACAAATCTTTAGTTAAATAACATCATAATTATAAATAAACATTTCCTTCTCGTGCTCTTTCACTACCATGTGTATATATTCCTTTTCTAGACCACTGTCTTGTTTTTTTGGTTTTTTTTAGCCTTTAAAGGTGTAGTGTTAAATCAATGATTTTGTAATTACTTAAATAACATAAATGTTGCATATTAATTTCCAAGTTTTTGAAACAAATGCAAGAATGAATATTTTACTAAATACTTCTTACATCTGTGAAATATTTCACGCAATTATCTCTACAAAATCACACTCATATGACAAGTAATAAGCGAGATATAAGTAGTTATATGACGCCACGTGTGTTTTCTGTATATTCCTAAATAACCTGGTACTGTGATGTTGTTTTCTATAAACATGAACACATATTTATGAAAAAATCGAATACTGAGGTTCGTATTTCTGATCTAAAAGTTTTGTGTCTCATAACAGGAGCGTTCTGGAGGGACAAACCCCCTTTAGACCACAAATGAGCATAAATTCAACTACCCTGTTGTATTTCATTTTAGTCTTACTTGATTTATGGAAGTTTCTGGACATACGAAAACTATGCATATATATGTAATGAGCCCAGGGGGGGGGGGGCTTGTTTACAAACAAGTGTGAGCACAAAGACATAATGTCTACCCGCCAGGAGGGGGGATATTTACAAACAAGTGTGAGCATAAAGACATAATGTCTACCCGCCAGGGGGGTATTTACAAACAAGTGTAAGCACAAAGACATAATGTCTACCCTTGGTGATCTCGTTTCATGCAGCCAATACACTATTCGCTAATTCACATATATGAAGCAACTAAGTATGCTGGCTTCTGAAATGTTGCTCTAACAAGGAACATTCTGAGGCTGGTTCTAATGATGGGTTTTGAATACTAAATCCACTGAATTAGCAAAC